CTTGAGATTAGTGAGGTGATTATAAGTGTAAAAGGCAGCCAAAAAGCCCCTCAAGATTCCCATATTTGAAGTACTTATAAAAGTCCTCTCAAGAGGTATTCTCATCAATCTTCTTTTCTTTCTTCTATTTTCTTTATTATAAAGTTATAACTAAAAAGGACAATCATGTAGACATCTTAGGGTAAATCGTGTAATTTAAATTTAAAGCATGTAAATAACCATTAATAAAGGGAACCAAATATTAAAACTGTTATTCTCTATCACGCTAGTTTTATCATAAGATACCAATTTAGGGCGTCGTAGGATGTCTAACACCTTCCCTAGACGTAATTGCCTCTCAAACCCAAATTTGGTTGTGAAGGCCATTTTTGTCATTTTTAAAATCTTTTCTCTTTTTTCGATGTTTTGAGTAAAACATCGGTGGCGACTCCATAAACTTATTTCAAAATCATTAGTTAAGGATTAGTCTGGTGTCCAGAAATTCCCTAATTGATGAGATTTTCAATTGGAAGTCTAACCCATCTATTGTAAAATCAAAATTTTTCGGGTTCGACACTAGCTAATTTAGTTTATGGAGAAGTTTAATTTATTTTTCTCCTTTAGAGGTGTTTCTGGAGAAGTTTATAAACAAACCTTAAGTACATGTACCTAGATTTGAGCTTCTGACATTCAACAGCTTAACTGTAAAGGCTGCAAGAGAAACAACAACTATGAGTCCTAACCTGACTATCATGAAGCTTTAGGTGATATTAATCTCATAATGTTGCATTTCTTCAAAGCCAACAATTTCCAGAACCACCCTCCACCCATTTCCCAAAATCTCCATAATAGATTGCTCAGCTGGGGCAAAAATTAGAAAATTGTAGAGAGAAAGAAAGACACAACAGCTAAGCATAACCCATCTTAGGAAACTTCATTTATATGTAAATTCATTGGTATTTTCCACACAATTGACTTTATCATCTTATTGGGTTTACGGAACTTTCTGTGAGAAACAACAGCAACCATCAATAACTAGAGGCCAACCATTGTCCAAAGAGATTGATAAATTCACATTCTGGAATATAGTATTAATTCGACACCAAATTTTGTTCAAGAGGATAACATTAACAGTTAAAACTGGCAAGAAGAGAGGAACAAGATTGATAAGTACCAGTGACAATAGAACCGAGACATGTTTCCCCAACTGTCTTTGTTCCTTCTTTACTCTTGATTATTCTGGTCCTTGAAAAAATAGATTGTCTCTTCTGACGGTCATTTAAGGTTGTTAATTACACGTTGGTGCCGTTTATATCCAACGTAAAAGGCAGCCAAAAAGCCCCTCAAGATTCCCATATTTGAAGTACTTATAAAAGTCCTCTCAAGAGGTATTCTCATCAATCTTCTTTTCTTTCTTCTATTTTCTTTATTATAAAGTTATAACTAAAAAGGACAATCATGTAGACATCTTAGGGTAAATCGTGTAATTTAAATTTAAAGCATGTAAATAACCATTAATAAAGGGAACCAAATATTAAAACTGTTATTCTCTATCACGCTAGTTTTATCATAAGATACCAATTTAGGGCGTCGTAGGATGTCTAACACCTTCCCTAGACGTAATTGCCTCTCAAACCCAAATTTGGTTGTGAAGGCCATTTTTGTCATTTTTAAAATCTTTTCTCTTTTTTCGATGTTTTGAGTAAAACATCGGTGGCGACTCCATAAACTTATTTCAAAATCATTAGTTAAGGATTAGTCTGGTGTCCAGAAATTCCCTAATTGATGAGATTTTCAATTGGAAGTCTAACCCATCTATTGTAAAATCAAAATTTTTCGGGTTCGACACTAGCTAATTTAGTTTATGGAGAAGTTTAATTTATTTTTCTCCTTTAGAGGTGTTTCTGGAGAAGTTTATAAACAAACCTTAAGTACATGTACCTAGATTTGAGCTTCTGACATTCAACAGCTTAACTGTAAAGGCTGCAAGAGAAACAACAACTATGAGTCCTAACCTGACTATCATGAAGCTTTAGGTGATATTAATCTCATAATGTTGCATTTCTTCAAAGCCAACAATTTCCAGAACCACCCTCCACCCATTTCCCAAAATCTCCATAATAGATTGCTCAGCTGGGGCAAAAATTAGAAAATTGTAGAGAGAAAGAAAGACACAACAGCTAAGCATAACCCATCTTAGGAAACTTCATTTATATGTAAATTCATTGGTATTTTCCACACAATTGACTTTATCATCTTATTGGGTTTACGGAACTTTCTGTGAGAAACAACAGCAACCATCAATAACTAGAGGCCAACCATTGTCCAAAGAGATTGATAAATTCACATTCTGGAATATAGTATTAATTCGACACCAAATTTTGTTCAAGAGGATAACATTAACAGTTAAAACTGGCAAGAAGAGAGGAACAAGATTGATAAGTACCAGTGACAATAGAACCGAGACATGTTTCCCCAACTGTCTTTGTTCCTTCTTTACTCTTGATTATTCTGGTCCTTGAAAAAATAGATTGTCTCTTCTGACGGTCATTTAAGGTTGTTAATTACACGTTGGTGCCGTTTATATCCAACGGAAATCTTCCTATATGTTTGAGCCACATTTTTAGTGTCCATGTTATTTTGGAAAATGTTTTGTGAAAGAATAAAATGGGAAAATAAAAGCTTATCTCTTGATTTTGTTATGTATTTTTAAGTGGTGTGTATATGAAAAAGAAAAAAATATATTAAAAAGTGAGAGATAAAGATAATTACATATATTTTTTTAATGTAAAATTGATTTTAGGTATGACCCATGATAGTTTTAATAGATGTAGGTTGTTATTTGATCAAGTGAGGGTTTCAATTTGTATGATTAATAATAGGGGTATAAATTGACGGATTCTAACATGAGGTAGTAAAAAATGTGCCTTATGGATTAGGCACTAAAATGATAGGGAATAATAGGTTTTTAACTGCGCGTGCGACCACGGTGACGACGCTGCTACGTGTGCGGCCATGGTGACAAGGCACCGTCGCTATCCATCGAAGAGGAATCGTCAAAACCCTCATCGTTTGAGGGATCGATCGCGTCGCCATGAAACAAATCTCATTCTCTCCGGTTAGCCATAACGAAATCAAATTACAAACAGAGGAAAGAAATTGGAAACCCTAGGTTTCGCCACTGTGTGTGCAGCCATGGTGACGCTGACGTTGCGTGTGCAGCCACGGTGATGAGGCACCGTTGCTGTCCACCGAAGAGGAATCGTCAAAAACCCTCACCGTTCGAGGGATTGATCACGTCGCCGTGGAGCAAATCTCGTTCTCTCCGGTTATCAGATTACGAGCAGAGGAAAGAAGTTGGAAACCCTAGTTTCCGCCGCTGCGTGTGTAGCCACGGTGGTTCGACGAAGCTCGACGGAGATGAGTTGAGAAAACTAATTACCGATTACGTGGGTTGCCTTACCGATTGAGAAAACAATCTCCTACGTTGATTTTTTTTATTAATATATTCAATGACTAAAACTAATGATTCATCCATAAAGGACATTTTTTACTACTTCATGTTAGAATCCGTTGTATAAATTTTCTAGACAAATGGGTCCATGTCAATTTTGGTTTTCGCAAAAATTAAGATGGGAAAGTTAATGTAGATGCTACATTTGATTAAGTAAAGTTAAGATGAAATTTACTTGGTGGACTAAAGCATATGGAAGGTATAAGATATGTGTAAGTAAAGGGGAAACAATGACCCACATCACTTGTTAGCCTTTTTGGAATTTCTCAAGAACTTGGGCTAACTGCTAAGTGCTAAGGTTACATTGCATGACACATAATTTGGATTCGTGACTTTGAAGGAATTTTTCTGCAACAGGATTCCTTGCATGGCTCTTTCTTGTTTACTCATCGGGGAAAAATAAAAAATATTGGCACGAAAATTCTTCAAACAACAACTAACAATAATTATATCTCTAATATTATACACAGGGTCCTTTTAACCATTGCATAAGAAAGAAAAACAAGTAGTTTAATACTTTAATTAATTAGTAATATTAAATTCATCACAATTTGTATTACTCTTTAGAATTAACTATTTTTTTTAATTAATTAACAAATAGATCTAGACATTAGTTAGTGCGGACCCCCTCCCCTGGGGCAATATTTGTTAATACTTAATATATATCCACTTTTTATTTTATTTTATAAGAATGTACATTACCAAATTGTAAATTTGATTTTCTTTTAAATACATCAAATTAATGTATTTAATAGAGAGAACAAAAATTAAGAATATATTTAATAGAGAGAACAAAATAAGTGAGAAATAGAGTGGAGAGAATAGATAAGAGAAAAATAAGTGAGTGAACATAAGTAAGAAAAAAAGTGAAAAAATTGATTATTTATTTTTAAATAAATAGAAAAGAAATAGGAGAAAAATAATATTATGTATGTTTAATTGGATAAAAATAAATAGGTGAAAAATAAAATATATGAAAATGAAAAAAAAATAGAGTAAGAAAAATGAAATTTTTTGAAAGTTATTAATTATTTATTATTTTAATAATTTAAATTAAAAGTTTAATCGATGGTTGTTTCATTTTGAGTTTATTTATTTATTTATTATTTTAATAATTTGAATCAAAAGCTTAATCGCTTATAAAAAAAAAAGTTATAATCGATTAAATTTACCATTTCAAAGGCTGTGTTTATTTTTCTTAAAAATTAAATTTTAATTTATTATTTAATTTTAACAATTTAAATAAAAAATTTATAGTCAATTAAATATACTGTTTTAAAGACGGTGATTATATTTTACGTATACAAGACAAATTTTAATTGATTAAAATTTTTGGACCAAAATTTCTTTGTCATTTCTATTCGGTCGAACATTAAATATCTGAAATAAAGATATTTATTATTATAATTTTCATAACAATTTTATGAAATCATTAAAATGATATGATCCAGAACATGTAAGAAACACCCATCTTGCCTGTATATAAAACATGAAGACAATTTCTTTTGCATTATCAGATTTGTTAAAATTATTTATTTTCTTTTACGCTGCAATAATGAGAAGGGAATGGGTAAAAAACATATTTTGGTCTTTTTGACTTATTTTTTTTCTTTTTGTTTGTTATACGGTGACTCTCTTTTATTTCCTGCAGTGCTATACATGTCGTGAAATCGCAGGACCAGGTCAATCGAGGTTTCGTTGCATTGGTTGTTTTAAAGTAGTCAAACATGAGTAATGATTTCTCATTTTCTTTTTTAGTTATTTTTTTTTATATATATATACTTATATTCCTTCTTTATGGCATTTAATATCTCAGATGGTGTACATCAATAATTCCTTGGAGATGTGATGATTGCATTCATAGGACAGAGCTGGCTGAAGAGAGTCTGCAGGAAGAAACTAAAGATGAGGTAGTGGAAGAATCTACAAAGGAGGTGGAAGAATCAGCCGAAGAGGAGGTCAATGAGGAATCTGTAAAGGAGGTGGAAGAATCTGCCGAAGAGGAGGTGGAGGAGGAGTTGAAGAAAACCAATGATTGATATCATGGAAGAATTTGACATGAATAATAGAGAATTTAGATGTATTAAGACAATTTATTTTATACAAAATATTTATATTAGAATATATGATAGACTCAATATATGATTATAATTAACTATGCTCTCAGTCTTTCGATAAACAACAATGGTGCAAACCTTTTTACTTTTGTTTTTCACGTTTAATGATTGTGCCTTTTCGATTACGGTTTTTTTAATTCCGTGTTTCTTAAATTTAGGATTCAATTCTTTTGTTTCTGTTTTGATTAGGACTATTTCATTTATATTATTGTAGAATTTCGGATGCACAAGCTACAGATTATCAAGCGTATATAAATTTCAAAGTTAAAAGTATTTTGTTAAGACTATAATATTCCAATGATCTCTTATGATTGAATTGAATCTATCTAAAATTTTACATGCTTGAAACAATTTTAGCAGATTTAAAAGGTGGTAGATGAGAGTGTGAGAGAAGTGAATCTTGACCATATAATTCAAATGAATGGTTAAGATAATGATGATAAGCGGGATATTTTGTATTTTTGTTATTTTTTCTTTGGGGCAGGAGGAGGGGGGGACAGGAATTGTGACTACTCACCCAACATAGGTTAAAGCTAAACATTGACAAGGAACTAAGCATGTTTGGTAAAGCTTTTCTTAGGAGAAAAAATCACTTATTTTTCAAACACTCTCAGGAAGTTGACAAAAATAAGGGACTATTTCTTAAAATTAAGCTAATCAACCACACGTTAAAACAACTGGGAGAGATTGTTGACTGACATGGATCAGTGAAAGGGGAAATAGAGATCAATGAGCACAGATCAATGAAAGGAGAAATAGAGATCAATGAGGGAATTAGAGAGGTCAAGCCAAGTATGGAAGGAGGTTGACAACAATTAGGTTTTTGCTGGAGCTTCAATTGTAAGTTGCACAATAGTTTTGTCAACTTGTCAGTATCACAGGTCACTCAGCTCAGGAAGATTGTTGATTTACTTGATTCCCCTTATTTCATAATCTTCCCTGGTGATCTCACAAGGATTCCCGATTCCACCAGTTCTCAGTTTTCCGAATGATCAAGATTGTAAGCATCCTTGGGAATCATGATTTGGAGAATCTTAACAACAACCAACATAAATATATATATTTTTCCCCATTATTTGGGATAACTAAATAGGTCAAAGGACGTCCTGGTATTATGCTGAAAAAGGAAAACCAATTCTTCAAAATCCATTAACACAAATCTTTTGTTAATAGTTTCACTATAATTTTTCTTTACCTCTATTTATTGGGCTTTTTCTGTCATCTGACCAACACTAGAGATTTGGGTTTGGCAGTACAATGACAACATTTGATATATATATGTTGTCAACCAGCCTAGTGGGAAAAGGCTTATGTTGTTTGCATGACTTTCCCAAGATGCCTAAACTGATGTATATGGAACCTAGTGAAAAAAAATTGTTGAGATAGATGTCTCATTTTTCTAGGCTCCAAATTATTTTTCATTTAATTGTTAGTTTCATATTACCTAATTAAACTACTTTCAGGTTTGAGATACCTTTTCATATATAGTGTGGAGGATGCAATTCAATTATTGCAAAAGGTGTTCGGTTCAATGCAGAGAAAAAACAAGTTGGAAATTATTACGCAACGAAGGTATGTTGAGGTTGACTGCGAATGCATCTGAATTTAAACTATTTTTTGGTGGAAGTGATTAAGAGCATGTTTGGATACAATCTTAGAAGTGTTTTTGAGAGTTTTTCTGTCAGAAATAATTCTTTATTTTTGATAAAGAAGTTCTTAAAAGCACTTCTAATTTGGATTTAAACAAGCTCTAATTTTATTATTTTAATATATTTAATGGTTGGACCTGATTTAAGTTTTAGAAGCCTAGCTAGGCAAATGCATACAAATAGTTATATTTTGTTTAGTTTGCCACTGTTACATGCGTGTAGAATGCCCCTTATATCTTGGTGCGTCCTCTAATAATGTTGTTCAAACTAACTTTTCTGTTGACTATTTTCTAACAAATGTTTATTGTACGTTCATTCAGATATGGAGCTTTACTATGAAGTCTGCCTACTGTAAACATGAGATTGTAATTCAGACCGATCCTAAGAATTGTGAATATGTCATTATTAGTGGGGCCCAGAAAAAAAATGAAGATTTTGATGTTGAGGATGCTGAAACTTTTGAATTACCTGCTGATGAAGGTGTGTATTGTAGTGTTGGTAAAAAAAAAATTTGCAGTTTGTGTTTCCTTTCCACTGGCTTGGAATATGTTATTGCACCCGGGAACTGTTATAGAAGCATGAAGAGCATACCATCAGATCCATAGGGTCCAATGGCTGTTTTCCATGGATTGAATTTATTTTCCTTCTAAATGTAGCAGTAGTGGTATATTTTTCCTTTTCATTTGCCTTTGATCATATCTAGCAACTGAAATGTTGTGGTTAATGTTAGCTAACTATTTTCATCTTCAATTTTATTGTACTTTATTTTAGAGAGGGGTAAGCTTGCAGATCCATTTTATCGCCTTGAACACCAGGAAGAGGATATGAAGCAAAAGAAGGAAGCTGATACCAGGCATTCAGATGACTATTCTCTCAATAAGACTCTTCGGGCCCAGCTTAGAGTATGCTCCTTGGCTATTGTTATTTGTCCTAGTTCACTTTTTGTTTGCTTTTCCATTTTCACCCAGGAGTATATTGTTTCTTCTGTACATAATATTTTCATCCTGCTCTAAAGAAAATAAACACTTTTTAATGCTTTTCCATTTTCTCAAGGTCAAAAGAAAAGAGTTTCTTAAGAAGAGAATGCTTCAAGGAAAAGAGGCCTTGGCATAAGATTACTTCCAGCTACAAAACAAGATTCTACAAATACAAATACAAATATGTATCTGTTACATTTTTATTTTGGTTCTTAATTCCTAAAATATGGTAAAAGGAAAAGTTGTACAAGCTATTTTCATGTCACATGATTCTGTGTTTAGTTATCTAATGAAATGCATTGCAGATTATATATTGAAGTAATGAGTGAGAACATGATTCTTCTAAAAAACATTGTGCCTGCAGCTAAGAACAACAAAGACACTAAATTCATCCTTTTGGACAAAGGGAAAACCATAGTAGAAAGGCATAATAAGATGTGCCCTTATGGCCGATGAAATTGCAGTAGTTCATTTTCATTTTAGGGGAGATGAGTGTGATGTGTTTTGACTCAGGTGACATAATTTGTCTTACCATACTCTAGTCACACTTACTTTGGAGTTATTATGGATCCGACAACCACTTTTTTTGCATTAAAATTTTGGATTAGGGGTAGGGCACAATCACATGCAAGATTAGAACCAATCAATAACCACAATTGTCTATCCTATCCCCCAACAAAGTCCGCATGAAAAGATATAAAACATGGGTAATTCCTTTCATGCCATCTTTTGAGTGAGGGTTTTGGTGCTCTTCAATAAAGATCTGGACACTTGTTTTAGTTGATCACATCATGGTTGCCTTAGAATTTTTGACCAAATCTCATTAACTCAAATGCAGTAACATGTATCCACACATAGTTTAGTGGCTAATTGAGTATGGGATGTTGCCATGCATGAGGTTCACATCAAAGTGGTAGGGAATAATTTTTTATGCTTGTTCGTGTGTATTCTCCAGATCAACTAGAGTTGATGCTTTCACCAAACTTCTATCATAACTTTAATTCCTTCATCTCATTAGCAAGTTAGGGTTTTTTTTAGATATTAATTACCTCATGACTTAAGGGAGAGTATTAGACTGAAATGTGACTATTTTTTGTTAGGTCGGTATGAGTTTAGTGTATGGTTAAGTTGTTTAGGGGTGAATGGTGATAGGTGGTATAAATACATATGAAAGAAAAGGATGTTGCATTATAAATTCGAATTGTTTTTTTTTTTTTTTAATTTTGAAATTAAAAAAAGTGCTAATCGGGTTATAATTTTGAAATTTAGATACTATATTAAAAATTATTTTTATACTAAGTAAATTTCTCCTCTTTATTTTTTTTATTATTATATTTGGTTTGCATTAACAAATTTAGATGAGTGAAAGATAAATGGATAAAAACATAAAGTGACTCATTCACTGTTTAATATCCCTCAAACTTAATAACTTGTCTGAAAATACTGTGAAAATATTTTCGATACATCAATGCATTTAATATTAAATGACAAATAATATTTGTTATTTTTAAATTATGATTTATAATTTATAAAAAATACCTTATTGATACTTATTATAAAGAAAATAAGTTTGGATGGATAACCATTTTTTTAATTTTTATTTTTATATTAGATATTATTATCCTTAAATTTAATAAAAAAAATTAAAAAAAATTCAAAAGTAAATATATAAATGTACGAAGAACCTCTTTTCCTATTAATAATTTATAATATTGATAAAATATTTTTTTATAATATTATATTTTATCAATTGATGATATAATAATATGTTGTTTAATGTGATTATTATTATTATTTTAGTAATAATTCAATCCAAATCAAATATAATTAAATTAGATTAATTTGGATCGAGACTGAAAGACTAAAAGAAAATCAAATTAATTTAAAAAAATTAAAATTAATTAGATTAGGTAAGATGAAATCAAATCCAATACCATTCAATTATGCCTACACTTAGCGTCAACAATAAGCAGAGCACTCCCATTAAATCTGCCTATTTTTCAAGATTTAGCTGTTAACATACTACTACCAATACAAAAGTTAACTTTTAAGTAAATGTGGACAATTTTTTTTATTCTTAATTTCTTATCAAATTAAACTCTATATTAAGTACTACTGAAAATGAATTGTATATTATTTTAATCTAAAATTTAATTTATCAAAACAAAATTTGCATATAACGAAAGTTAATATAATAAATAAGGATGGATAATGTTTTTTTTTTTTAAGAGTAAGACGGGTTATATGTAATATTTTGTTAATAAGTTTGATAAGGTCGTTATGTGTAATCTCAGATAGAATTTAATCAAAATTTGATAATATATAAGAGACAAAATTGAAGTCAAGAAACTTAATTACATAACATAAGTTTTAACATTATA